TGGATTTGGATGGCTTGTATTACGAAGCATTTGCTTCGTAAGCCAACGAACTCCCTGCCGTTACGGAGCAATTTGTTTGTCAGCAAAGAAGGAAATGCTTGGGGCGGGACCGACACGTCCACAGTAAATCCGTCCACAGAATTTGCGCGATGTGAAAACACGTCCACAAGTTTACATCCAATGATTTGGACGTAAATTAACAGATGCGTTTGTTAGGTCCACAGTGTGGACGTACTTACGAGCCGTGTGTTCTGGTGAAATTAGCTCCACAAAATCTGTTGCCATTTGTCTCCTTTCATTTACATTCATTTACATGCAGGGTTGTTAACGATATTTTATCGTGTAACGGCGATACGACGATATCGATACGATTTTTGTATCGATATCGTAACGCGTTACTTTTTCGGCCGACGGTGTATTGTAACGCGATACGATATGGAGGACCCGTAATGTCGTTACGTCGATACGATACAAGTGATTTTACAGTTGGACAGGAAATCACAAGGAAAAAGGGAAAACTTTGACGAACTCCAGCACATCTGAGAAGAAACTTCTCAGATTTTAAGATCTTTTCTCAAAATGAGGCAAATTCCTATGATCCGTCTGACGATACTTCCTCAAAATCTAAAGAGTGTGCCTTCAAATATCTGCGTTCCTCAGATTTTTCCCTTTTTCCTCCCAAAAAACAGACATCGTGTTGACTGGGTAGCGCCATACTACCAATTCTCTTGTTTTAAAGCTGTTTTACTGTTTGAGACTGTATCGTAACGACGTTACGACGATATACCGTAACGTAACGCGTTACATTTTTGATCAGAGGTGTATAGTATCGCGATACGATAACTCGGAGTGAATGTTATCGTAACGTATCGCGATACTTTTTTTTTGTATCGTTAACAACCCTGTTACATGACGTTCTGCCCTCACTGTCCTCACTGTCACCCTCACTGTCAAAAGTCCTACACACACACCTAAGTGTGGGTTAAGCTTGTACCACTCTGAAAACTCTAGAAATACGCTCTATGCGCAGGACATTCCCACGTTTGTTCGAGTTGTTAGATTTTCATAGAGTTCAATTCTTGAAATTTGTACACTTAATTCAGGAGTTATCCACCCCTCGGCACAGGCACAACAACTCTGTTGCACACTTAGAAGTGTTGAACAGTTGATCACTTAGTTTATCAGTAT